GGGGCCTCCCCCTTAGGAAATCGTAAAAATTAGACCCCTAAACATCGTTTTTGGTACATTCTGAGCAGCTTTTATGGCAATCTTGTGGCTCCAAAATTTACTGTTCGTGCACAAATAATTCCGGAAAAGGCTGTATTAAAATTGTTTGCCACTCCGATCGTATTTAATGCGCGGTCCTTGCGCCCGGCCACAAAATGCAGAAAAATAAAAGAAAGCATATTTGAATGTCAATTTGATCGAAAACATAATCATTGGGATGTGAAAAAATGTCACAGTTTCGCTTTTTGGAAGTTTTGTTTCTGTTTTGACGGTTTAATTCTAGCGGGGTGCGATCCATAAATGCCCTATGGCGTCCCGGTACACTGACTTCCGGGTTCCTTGAACAAGAAAATTACGAGAAAATGGCCAAAAATCGGCGTAGAGAAATATACATTTTCCCGAAAATTCTTTTAATTATGTATTTCTTTAATGTTTTGCTTAGTAGTCGTAGAAAAAACGTAGAAAGCAGCGTAAATGTGTCTCTTCTTCACCGGCGAGAGCCTGCCGGCGAAGAAAAATCTTCCCGCGCTGCCGGCTGCTCGCCACATCGCTTATCCAATCAGAACGCAGGTCATGTGAGGTGAACCAATCAGAGCGTCGATCGCACGCTGCTACTTAATATTCATGACAAGATGGCGCCTGAAAGCTCCTGTTTTTTACATACAGCGATGCGGAGTGTGCGTGTTTTTATTCCGGGGTTTTGACGCTGATTTTGGCTAGCCGTGATTAAGCTACAAATGCCACACTAGTGGAGACAACAGATGAGTGATCATTTTACGATCGACAAGAGCTTTTGATGAATGAAACAGCTGTGAAATCTCGCTGATGGCGATTTGTTTTTGAAAATTTGTCTCTGTGTATGAAAGATATGAACACGCTTCTATACATGTCTTGATATTTTTTGACGTGATTTGTACTACTTATTTGTAGCAGGAATGTTACTAGTGCCGGGAGAAGTTGGGAAGGTAGCGGCTTGATAAATTTTCGTGAGCAACGAGTTTACGAAGCAAGTTCCGCCTAGCTCGAGCGACACAGCTCCGCGGATACAACTCGAGCCCCGAACAAGACCCTCCCCCCGTAAAGTTTCGGCCGCTCTGGCCGGCCGCGGGCCGCTCGTAGAAGCAAACGCTGACTCGTGCACTACTAGAAATCTGCACAGGAGGCTAAGAAAGAAGCAGTTTTCAGATCCAGAAAGCTGGCAGAAATTTGTCTGAAGTTCGTCAGAAGAAATGAGCCGGTGAAGTTTGTGAGAAAATGTAACGGAGCTTACTTGTTTTTCTGAAAATTTAGACGAAAGTAGCCGGCGCAAAAATTTGAAAATTTTGACGAAAGTAGCCGGCGCAAAAATTTGAGTAGGCGGCGATTTTCGCCGGTAGCCGGCTTGTTTTGAGAAGGCTGCTCTACCATTACGCCACACGACCCCACATGTTAGTCTGTAGATGGGTCCATGTTAGATTGAAAGCTAATCACATTTACTACTGACTTCAGGGTTTGCCCACAAATACTGTGTACTGCAACCTTGATTACAGAATTGTCAAAGTAGACAGATAAAAGGTACTCACTCATCCCACTTGACAGGGCTCTGCAGGTTGGCCTCTTCATAGCACCTGTGGATCCAACAAAGGAACATTCTTACCATTCAGTGGTCATAATACTTTTTTCAGTGCTCTGCAACATTGCAGAAGAGTCAAAATTTTGTTCTGCAATTTGGAAATACTTTCTGCAAATACACAAGCCTCCATACTACAGCCTTCTCAAACCAATAGTGCCTTTTGTACATCATATATAACTTATATTACAGCATTACTGTAATTACCTCCATTAAAAATGGAGGTATTGTTTTTGGCTTGTCTGTCTGTGTGTGTGTGTGTCTGTTTGTGTTTCTACACATTTGTAGTCAGCATAACTTCATAATGCCTTTATGGATTATGATGATATTTGGTATGTTGGTATTTAGTCTTAGGAAGACAAAGGTCAAGGTCAAATATTGGCCTAGTGGTGGATGACCTTGGTACTGCAGCAGAACTTTGTATCTTTTGTCCTGAACATGCTATGGTCTTGACTTTTTGGTGACAAATACTGTAAGTCTACAAATTTCCGCGGTATATTTAGATTCGCAGAATTCGCGGGGACCTTTGTACCGCGAATCTATTTCCCCGCAAATATGTTTTGCGTAAGTTTGCCCCCCTCCCCACATGCATTCATGACGGACTTCGAGTTCAAGCGAAACACAAACGCGATCCGCAAATCACCGCAAATCAACTTTATTCTTGGCAAATGCACGTAGTTGAGTACTGTATCAAAATTATTAAAGTTAAACTGTTACTAGTATTATGAGAGACACCGAATCGCGATAGCACTGGCCGTGTCAACCTCGTACCACCTGACAAAAATATTCGCCCGGCAGAGCGCCGGCCATACGTGCGGGCGCTGAAATGCGGGCGCATCAGGGATATCTACAAATATTTTGACGAAAAATACAAACATTTGGTGCCTGGGAAATGTTACTTGGTTCTCTTTTGCTGGAGTTTTTTCTCGTTTTGATGGGTAGAAACGCTAGCGTGGCGTAACGTTAACTACAAGAAGGCGACCTTGGGACACTTCCGCATTCATCGAACGCCAACATCTCACCGAATACGCCATAAATTGGCATAGCAATACATGTTCTCCCGAAAGATTCTTTTCCTTATACATTTCTTCACTACAGTATCGATGTGTAGTCGTGGAAAATAGCGTTTAGCACTTATTTCCGAACAAAGAAAATTGTTTACACGGGCGTCAGATCAATCGAACTTTACCGCCGGCACTGACGAAACAACCAATCAGAGACGCGTAGCGCGGACACGTGAGGCAAGATTTGCATACCGACAGAACATGCAGACAGTGTAGCGCGGTGCACGAAACAAATTTTTGCGCCGCATGAGATAAATGCCGGGACACAAACTTTTTTTTTTTTAAATATGCACTTTACAAGTTCTTTTTTGAATAGTCAAGGAGAAATTGCGAATCTAAAAATACCACGGATTGCCCATTTTCCCGAAACCGCGAACTTTAGGCCCCGCGAATCTAAAGAGACTTACAGTAGCTGTTCTTGTCAGGAATAAGTGGTGTGAGTTTGTTCCCCCTAGCAGCTTGTTCTGGAACTGCAGCCAGGGGACTTTCAGGCAAAATCTTTTAAAGCCAATAATTCCAGATAGGAACAAAGTATTTTCATCATTTTTGGTGTGTAGGTAGCTGAGAGAGAGTTGTACATAATTATATGCAAATTATGCAAATGAGGGCTTAATTTGCATAATTAAGGAGGAAATTCTATATTTACAGTGTTTTATATAATAGTACTGTTAAACATGCAATCTATTTAATCTGTGGCAGGCGGAACATCAACAGATACCAATTATGCAAATGATGACCTGATTTGCATAATTAATGTGAAAATTCTGCGACTCCTTATTGGTGAATGATGGTAATTTTATACCTTGTGACTTACATGTAAGTTACTTAATGTTAACACTAGTATGCATATATTATGTTAATGTCAGGTCATTTGCATAATTAATGAGGACGTGTTGAAATGAAGTATGACAAAGGAGAGGAATTTTACATGACAAATATTGTCATTTGAATTTAGAAAACCATAAATTAGACTTGATTATGCTAATTACGACCTTATTTCCATACTGTCAATGAAACAAATAAAAAAAACAGTTTAAAAAACTCATATATTTCATGGAGGTATGAAATCTCCAAATTCTTGTTCTTTAAATTTAATCTATCACTCTTTTTCAGTTGACTTTATAGACCCTCCTGGCCTCCTCTATACATATTAGAAAATGTATCATCTCCTGGTATCTTCATGGGTCTTTCACCGACATCTCCCACTTCCAACTTGTAAACAACTCCTGCAAGGATTGAGTGTAACATGCCGTTCAGTGTTACTATAATGTAGCCAGCAGACATCGCAATGCGTGCCTGTGAAGCTGGTGTGTCATGCCAAAGGGCAGTTATACCAGCTATACAGGTGCATGTAGAACACAAGTCAAACATACTAAATACAACCTTGTCTAAGATGGCCACCCTGGTGACGAAGGAAAAAGTCTTTGTACACAAGTGGTAAAAAAAATAGCATGGCCACAAGCCAAGACAGAGAACAAGGAAACCACATTGACCATAGACTACCCAATTGGCCCAGAGGGCAGCATTTTAAATTGTGCAAAGACTGTCACACTGTGAAAATCAATGGCAAACTTGCCGATTACATCATAATTTCTCATTATAATTTATAGCTATCATCAAATGTTTCTCCCGCTGCATGCTTGTATATGATGCCGTTGTCATAGGCAGAACGTGGGAAATGTGTGGTCCAAATTATAGGGCTGCTCACTTCCCCAGTGCGAAGTCGCTAAGGAGCTAGCAGCATCGCCGCAGTTCCCACACTGTCCTCCGATCAGTGTGCCTCATCGTGGTGCAGGGGTGAACTCAGGGTAACGTGGAGTACATCCACAATCCTGAGGCCAATTGGTGGACGTGAAACCCTTGGGCCAATCACCCATAAGTGGATACAACCGATTACGAAAACCTCAAAGAGAAAGTCTCCAACTGCCGGAGCAACCAGCGGAAAGAGACGTGTTAACCCACATGACAACTCTCGCAGCGCATGACATCCGAAAGACTGAATCTCCTGTCCCCCAAACTGAAACCACCATTAGAAGAAGAAAGTGGCATTGGATCAGTCACACACTACGAAAACCGCCAACGTCCATAACAAGAACAGCCTTAGACTGCTGGAATCCCCAGGGGAAACATCACAGAGGCAGACCCTGCCTCGCCTGGAGAAGAGGTGTGAGGAAAGATCTGGAGAGAGCTAACAGGAAAGATCTGGAGAGAGCTAACGTAACCTGGCAGGAGACCAAGAAGATTGCGAAGAACCAGAAATGCCCTGTGCTCCCGAGTGGGTGAAGAAGACTAAGTCAAGTAAGTCAGTCACTTCCCCAGTTACTCCTCTATGACACAGGTCAAAATTTTATTCCCATATCCTTGTCTCTCCCCCTAGTGTGTAAGTCCTGCTAAAGCTAAACAAGAATTCAGAGATTTCAAACCTCCATAAAATATTAAGAGGATACTAGTTCTAGTATACAATATTAACATAATATATGCATAGTGAGCTTATCCTTTAACTTACACATGTCCCATCATTTACCACTATAGAATCATAGCATTTTTGCTTTCATTATGCAAATATAATTAGACAATGTTCCACCTGCCATTAATATTACAAACGTTACATGTATACCCTTATTACAAGTCCTACATGTAAAGCACTGGAATTACATATAAAGTCCTCACTAATTATGCAAATTAAGAGTCATTGCACGAGAAAACCAGGCAAAACCAGGCAGAGGTCGGAAGATGGGGGTCGGCCAAATCGGCTCATACTTTGTATGTGAGATAGGTATGAGGAACTACTAACAGCCATATAGTTAAAACCCTCCAGCTATTTTTCGTTATGGAGTTCTGGGACCCCCCTCTGAGACCCTCAAAAATCTAACAATTTATGGCTGAAAATTACTGAAATTACAATGGACACCATGGTGTCTTTTTATTTTACCAAATAAAAATTGAAGATGCAACATTGAAATTAAAAGGGTATACCAGGAGTTACCAGAACCAATGAAATCACATTTTCATCTTTCTAAATTTTAGTCATTTTTAAGTAGCTTTTTCTCCGTGACGCGGCAATTTTGATAAACAGTTTTACCGTTGCTGGAGAGAGGAACATCTGCTGATTCAAAAACAAGTGTCGTTTAATTGGGCCATTCATAACGCGGGCCGTGAACGAAGGGTCTTTATGGGGGTTTTTCGGGTTTTGGACCATAATAGATTAGGTAACAATGTCGCTTTACGGGGTAAATCAGGGACATTTTTTTGTGCAGCTGCATGGGATCAATGGACAATTGTTGAAAAATGCTAAAAAAAATTAGAAATATTAGTTGGGGCTCTACATGGGGGATATAAGGATACTTAAAAAGCAAATTAAACTGATTTTACACATTATCACATTTTATTACAAATGTCCATGTCTTTGAGTAAGTACCTTTCAAAATCAATTTTGTGCATTCACTTTGTGCTAAATAGCATAAAGGCTATGTATGTGTGAAACTACATGTAGCTACCATGTACACATGTACATAAGCCGCATGGGTGCATACACGTAGATACAAGTACTCGAAATGAACACTATAGCAACAGGACTAAGACTATGACTGAGGCGTTAAAGCTCAACACAAATGATTACCAAAGACTGTAAAATAACACAATTAACGAAAGTATATATTCAATATAGTCTGGAATTTGGTTTTAATCATATATATCATGATTTTAAGATTTTAAGTTTATACGGCGTTCCAAAAGTGCATTTTTGGAGACGCTCTTGAAAGCTTTGCAATCGTGGCAATTGCCCGTCTCTGGCATCTCTTTTTGCAAAACTTATCTTTGCAAAAATAAAATATAAAAATGCAAATAGTCTGCCAGGGCGGTTTGTACTGACTTGTCCGGGGTGCGGGGCATGAAAATTTGGAATGTACCAGTAGAACCGTGCATATCTATTGTA